AATGACGTTTTACCAGTGAACAAAGCGCAATTAGAGCGCTGCGCGCGCGACACGCGCCGCGCGGACGGCTGTTAGCATAAACGGGAGTCTGCGCCGCAAAAGGCATTGGGCGGAGCATGGAGGAATTAGCGTGTTTCACGGTCCTGTATCTCCATTCCTGCGCATGTTAGGACGGGGAAACCGCTACGCTTCGACAGCTGGGGGGCTGATAGTCACGCACACCCAAACTATGTGTGATCGTACCATGTGTCTTCAAGAGTGTGCATGAAGCTCATGCTGTTGCTTGACTGAATGATCGATTGAATCAGCGAAATGCCCCCACCAAACCAAACAGTGCCGAGAGAACCAAAGTTCGATTTATTATTGTTCTACTTTGTGCAAGAACGGAATGAAACAACTTACTCTCAGATAATGGATGTTATCCATCACATTTTCCTCGAGTGTAAGCTTCACACGTCGATAATTCCACAGCCATCTAAATTGAAACGATCTTATCTTAGAGATAGCTAAACCAGAAAGAAATATTCAGGAGCATTGCTTCTAAACCATCACACTGCAACTTGAAATACTCGAACAACTTGCCTGAGCTCCTGCTTTGGGAACACAATGACGCGCCCATTGTCAGGTTTCCTTCCTTCAGCAAGGGCGGTAATTAAATCCTGTGCCAAAGCCTTATCAGCGCTAGCCGAGTCAATCAGCACACATACTGCAACTGATTCCTCGCCAAAATCAACCTGTAATTGATAACCGTAAGATATTCAAATCTGACATTCGTCTGGGAAACCAACCAAGCAGTAGTCAGGTCGAAGAGCAGCGAGAACGTCTTCCAAGGGTTGGATCATTGTGTAACCGGCCGCATCGTGAAGGTCCATCAAAGCGCTTCGGAGCAGAGCAACAAGTCTCGCAGAACGCTCTTTTACCTGGAATGATAGATGGAGCTCATTTAGCATCCTACAGCGCCTCGCTGTGCACAAGTGTAAACCACAACAAAAAAAGCCGTACCTCTCTGATCACACTATTGTACGCTCGGAAGGCACTGAACATCGTTGTCTGTTCACGAGTTTGGCTGTAAATAATTAAGAAGGTATAAGGAAAGAAAACAGACCTGATCTTTTAAAATAACACCAGAATATTTCAATTTAGAGTCCGAACAAACCTGTCATAACCGTTATCAGTCTCATCAAAGCTCCTCTCATCCTCTAACTCACGGATGCCATGCTTTTCGGAGATGTTCTCCATACTCGTTTCCCAGAACTTCACCACGAGCTCGTTCAGCAAGTGAGGAAAATATGTGCTGAAAAAGTAACTAGTTTTGAGATATATGGCAACAAGATTCAACGATTTGAGGGGGGGGGGTGATTGAAAAACCCTCACATAGAGTAGGATTGCTGTCACTCGAGTAGAATCGCCGCACCTCGAACTGGGTCATCCATCCCAGAGCTCCTGCCTCCTACAGCTCATAGGCAAAAACTTCATCTACACCGCGGTGATTCTGGTTTTGCACAGAGTTCTTTGGATTCCGCTTCCCTCCCCACGTCAAAGGGTAAACGGATAAAGTCTCCGCAGTTGATCAATCACTTTTTGGGATGCGTCACACATTCTACATTAACATCACCGCAATTGCCGGCTCGCAATCAGCGGTTCTCATGCGTGTTTCCATCATTGGTTGTTTCCTTCCTAAATCGATCTCTACCCGATCGCCATTGGTAGAGCAAGGGAGCCGAACGCGGACTCGAACCGCGCTGCTCACGCCGCCTCCGACAGTCCGCAATGATGAGGACTGTACTTCTGCTCATGTACTCAGCGGCTTTTTGAATCCTACGTGGCCTTTACAATGAGTTGCGAGGGCTAGCCGATGTGAAAGTCACTACTTTTATAGTCCCAGACGGATCTGGTACCAGTTCGCTACCTCAGAGAATAGAAGGCTTGGTCAGCCTGCGCAGAGCCGATCCGTGATTCGACCCTCGGACAGCGCCTGTAGTAAGCCCGTCACTTGCCACTGCTACAACTTCGCCTCATCCCCCTCTTTCCATTAGATTAGCAGTGCCATAAAGACTCCCCTCAAACATTTGAAGGAGCTCCTTAACTCTAATTCAAACGAATTCATTCCAAACGTACCAGAATGATGATGCCAGCATGTCAAGACCGGAGTGTATGTGAAGCGAACATTGAAATGCTGTTCGCCATTCTTCCTCTAGTCTGGAGAACAAGCGTCCAAGATCGCCGCTAAGCGCTACCGAATCACACCAGCGCTCGACGTAGCCAAGATATTTCTGGAATTATAGAAAGGCACCTTGTGGTAGAGCTAACCAAGTGGTTGGAGCACTTCGAGGCAGTGGGCAGGATTGCTGGGTGCGAGCGGTTGCCGCCAGTGTCACTGGTGCGAGAGGGCGTTTGGCCGCACCTTTCATCTCTTCCATTAATGACGTTAGCAACAACCTCCTCCCTCCCTCCGCAACCTCCCCCCTCAGCAAGCGTGCCCTTTGTCTAACGAATTGAGCCACTCAGAGTTATCACGAGTTTTTACCTCGAAAACATCCTTCAATGTGTTTTCGAAATCAGCCGTACAAAGTTTCCCTTTCCTCCCCTTCGGACAAATCGATTGAATAACGTCAAGGAAAAATAGTTTCGCCCTAAAATATCACTTCTCGTTAAACATGAGAAAATGCAATAATGGGAAATAGGACAATAAGCATGCAAGACTACACACCGTACAGCCTCATCAACACAATCACGGCAATCTTCAATCAAGGTGTCCATTGTAAGTATGTCCATCTCAGCACCTTCCGGTATCTTCCACTTTGATCTACAAGAGACAAGTCGAGCCCAAATACCAAAAGAACGACGAATCTTTGAGAAAACTCACCTAACACTTAACCATTCTCGGGCTAGCTCTAAACGAACGCCAAGGACAAATATGAACATCGGCCCAACTGATGGCAAGCGTACTGCTTTGGCCTTCTCGCTTGTGAGTGTAAAATTGAACATCTCATTGTACCGCTCCATCTGTGAAAATTCTGACTACGATTACTATGATTGTAGCTTAAACTGCAACAATTACATGAATTGGACACTGAATCCAAACCTGAACTGATGTCAGCCGTAGCATCGTCCGCTGCCGAGAAGCTGCATGGGCATAACTAGCAATCGGCGGTTGAAGAAGGATAGCAGTTTTCATGATTGTTCGTTCACACACTTCCCAAACTCGAGCAACTACACGCTTCATGCCCTAGAATGAGAGTTATTGGCCCTGCTCACAGAGAGGATTTCAAAGGAAATTAAGTGGACTACCAACTGGCGTCAACGAGCTATAAGGACGAATTACATTCAGAAGAAGGAAGGCAAGGGGGAAGGGGGAGGGGGGAGGTGGAAATGGCACGGTGTTATAAAAGGAACTGGTGAAAAGCGTACAAAATGAGATTGCTGAAAGGATACCAGAATGAAAAGTAGAGTTTTTGAACATGGTGAGTATTTCATTACAATCAAAAGTTTCCAGACTTTTGAAAAATCACTTAGATGTTATTCTTCTACTTACATAAACGTCAATACGCAGCTGAAAGCCTATCACGGGCTGATCGCATGAGCAGAGTCACCAGGGCAATATTTCCTTTTCATTGAATGATCCTTTTTTGGAAGGCTAACAAGAGAACACATGAGGAAAGCGAAAAAATCCCAAAGACAGCGCTCACATGACCAACAACGCACGTGTGCTTTCGAACAGCGCCATCTCAAAAGGTGATCAGACTCGATGGCAATGAAATTTCAGCGTTCTACAAGGATTATGACCGGGTTTTCGACAGCCAAGGAATAGCGACCTTATCGCAGATTTTTCAGGGATTTCTGCTTGCCTCACGACAAATGTGAACGTTGAAGCATACCCTGAGAAGAAGGCTCCGCTTTACGAACGCTTCAAACACTGGTCGTGCATCACGAAGTCCGACCGTCCAAGACGAACTGTGTAACGGACGAGGCCAATGTTTCTCGGCATCAGGAACCCGGCTCACTTCGAATACAGTACCAAGCTGAAAGTGGTGGATGGAAAAACGATTCAATAATAACATCTGCGAAGACTCAACCTGAGTGATCTTCGAAGCCAAGTCGTCCACGGTGTTCAGCCAAGTGATCAGCAGTGTTACTTTGTCGAGTAACTGTCTCGTGAATGCCGCTCCTTTTCGTTTACAGCAATCATCCTCCATTGCTTTCGAATGTGGGAAGAGAGCTTGGTACTTCTCGTATTCCTTCAGCAGTTCATTTACTAAAACAAAAATGCTATAAATCCAAGTTACCAGAACCTGCTATCAAAAAGAAATGAGACCTTCACCTTCTTTTCTCGTGCTTTTCAAATGGGTCATGTAGTTCGTCTCCAGACGTTCAAAGCCTTCTACCACCGGTATGGCTGTATATCGTACTATCTTCTCCAAGACCTCACTGCGTTCCTCACGTTTAGTACAAACCAAAGCATCCATTTCAAACGTTGCATCTTGGCCTCCAGAAACTTCCCTTAATATGAAATAGCAGATTCATTCAAAAGTCAAAAAGCTTAGAGGCTGGTTATTTGAAAAAGAAGAACAGGGCTAACGTTGCAACAGAGCGAAGACAAACTCAAGGAGCGAGAAAAAAGCGCGCAAATAATCCACGGAAAAATCCTGGATAGAGGGACCAGACAAATTAAGAATTCTGTTTTCTTTTTTCGGAATGGGAGAAGTTGGTTCCAAGCGCCGTTCGGGAGAAAAAAAATGCTGGATCGTGCACTCCGTATCCCAGAGTTGAGGAGGGCGTGGCTGAGTACTTTACTTGCAAGTGACAGCAACTTTTTTTGGTGCGATGGAACGTTTTGGGGCGATTTTAATCGCCTCTCTGTCCCGCACAAGACATGATGGGGGTGGTTCGAATGGAAACATTGCATGAGAAGCACATTACGTGCGATTGTTGCACGCCGGGCACGCCCGCTGTGCCCAGGATCTCCAGGAGGTAGGTGGGTGGTGCACAACGACTTTAACATGTATGAGCAGAACCATTTATATCGCGAATGGAGGACACATATGTGATGACTTCCGAGTTAGTTGAGAGCACAGCAGCCGGAGTTGAATCGTCTGCGTCACTACTGGAAAGGGCTGGGGCGTACCCTGCAGCGTGCTGGTAGGTGTGCCCAATTGACGCCGTCGCTCAATACCAGCCGCCATTTAGTAGCGGAAAGTGCCTTTGATAAAAACTGGTCCTAACAGCAGCGCACTACAGTGATGGACATCTCTTTTCCTCTTCAAAGCTCAAGGGTTCTGAATGGCAGAAAAAAAAACAAACGAGATGAATTAGAGTTCACCTTCCACTGAAATATGCACGCAATATCAACCACAAAACATCACCATATTTATGCTGCTCCTTTTTCGAGCCTATCGTGAATGTCTGAACAAAAACTATTATCTCATTTCATTACAACATATTTATTTAGGGCTACCACCACCTGTTCTGTTCTACCAGGTGTATTAGCCATCGTGAGTTTCGACGACATATACCGGTCAGCACATAGAAAGTTGTCGAGATCACGGAAGAGATTATTTCTAAACCATTGAATTCCGATTCCAGCAAATTGTGTTGACCCATTCTGGAGTAATGTTGGAATGGAGAGGGACTTCGGCGCAGTTTCGCGACGGAGAAGGGAGGGGGGGGAGGGGGGCTTTTTGCCTCTCCGCTACTTCCTACTGTCGTATCATTGCTTCACAAGAGCCAACAGGTATTCTTCACAAAAGTTGGCAAGTAGTTTTTACAACTTATATTTGATGGCTCTTGAATGGGAAGCCGCGAAAGTGCAAAGTGCCCCTTCCCGTCTACGAACTATACCGGGGCGTTTTGATCTGATTCACGAAAGAAACATGGGGTTAGCATCACACCGCAATATGGGCCTACATGAGCGAAAACCGGCGAAAAGTGATTCAAGTATGGCATACATACCTTTCATCCTCAGCGACGTCCACGAACACAGCATCCGAACCGGAGCCGTGGATTTTTGTAGCATCTGCTGCAACGCTTGAACTTGAGGATGAGCGGTCAATAACAGCGAGACAACGAAAGGCAGGCGAGGAACCAGGAGTCTAGATAGCGGGAAAATTAGTGCAGAAAAAGTTATCAACCATGCAGCCCTTTACGTGCCGCCTCACTGCCTTCATTTCTCCATTTTTTAATCTATTTTCGACAACAATTAAGAATAATCACGGTCTGTCAAGAAAATTGCAAGCCGGTAGGTTAGGAAGTGTTTCCAGGCTACAGCTTCTTCCGATGCGGCACATGATGACACAGCACGCTATTTACAATCGGTCAGGAATGAACGGAGGCAAAAGACAAACCGACGCATGGCTGCCACTCAAATAATAGTCATCATCTTCATCGTCTGCATGCAGATATGAGTAATCGTTTCGTGTCTTGCGGCGGTTAACTGAAACATGCAGTGAACCTCACATCAATCAAACGTCATATTGGAAAACCCACTTCGTCCTGCTGCTGCCCCACCTCGCCCAAGGCTAAGTCGCCCTCGATAGATTTTGTGGGAAAGAACTTTGTGCGACTTTCTAAATCACAATTCTTAAACTTTCTAACCAGATACAAACCTGGCTCACTGAAACTTTACAGACCTCTGGGCAGGAGTCTCAATACTTCCTATCAGCGATAGGCTACGACAGCGTTTAATAGAATGTGGATGGGGAGAATTACTCATTTTGGATTCCTCATTGATCGTAGAAAAACGGCAGTATATTTATTGCATGAAAACTGAAACTGAAGAAGATCAGCGAGTTATGACCACATCTCCAATGAAACCCGAACATTGTAACGTATACAATCACCCATTCCTCTTGAAGTGAGAAATGGAAAAATCTGATAGCAGAATCTCGCATTCACTGAA